TCTAATCCTGATGCCACATTCTTCTTCATATAGTCCAATTCTTTGGATTATTTGCTCAGCATGTAGATTGAGTAAGTATGGTGAAAGGATACAACCCTGACATACTCCCTTCCTGATTTTAAACAATGCAGTATCCCCTGGTTCTGTTTAAACGACAGCCTCCTGGTCTATGTACCGATTCCTCGTGAGCACAATCAAGAGTTCTGCAATTCCCATTTTTCTCTATGTTTACCTGCGTGTATTGCTGTGTGCCACTGAACAGACTCCGACTCAGCCACCCCACGTGACAGAGTGCAGAGCCTCACGGCAGCTCTGAGGCTGTCATTCTTCCATTCCACACACACACAGCACCAGGTCTGTCTCCTACACAGCTCTGGGTGGGTCTGAACTGCCAGCCTCCTTGTCAGCGGTCAAGCACGTAAACGTGCCACCAGGGTTCCTGATGTACCTGTATGCCTCGGTGCAGACCCAAAAGAAACTCAGACAGACCTACAGCCAACACCCCCCCGAACGCTCATAGTAGCCCCACTCAGCAGCCAAGACCAGGAAGCTGCCTGAGGGCCCAGCAAGAGCAAAGGGACGAGTCAACAAGGACACGCTGGCTGTGCGGCACCAGAAACGAGCGGGCCACACCACCCCCACGGTGGCAGTGGGAATGAGTGGGCCGCACCCCAACAAGATGGGCCTCCCAAGTGGAGGCAGCTGACAGAAGCCAGACACCCAGCAGACCCTGTGTGGTCCTGTTCGTATCGGCCAAAGTCACCTATGGTGTGACCCACGGAGGGGCAGGGAGGAGGCTGAGGTGGAAGCGGCAGGGGTGCTAGTGCCAGCCGGCCCTGGCAGAGGGGGGGCCATCATGCTGCACGCTGGGTTAGGGACACCTTCCCTTTGATAAAAAAGCCAACTTAAAACATGCTGGTCCCCAAATTCAAAGCTAGGGGAAGGCTGAGGGACCAACAGTCACGTCACCAGGCTGGTATTCGCGTCTCCACGGCAGGTCTCTGTGGCACTGTGGGTGCACATGACCAGTGACAGAGGAACGCAGCAGGAGCACACACAGCCTTCCCAATGCAAGGAGTCCATGTCCACTTTGAGGGTGTGATCAAGCTCCTGTTACTGGAACCACCTCATGACCTTCTTGGGAAAACTTGCCCAGAGCACAGCTCGCGGGGAACAGAGCAGGGCACAGGGGAGGGCAGAGGGAGACGGGCTCTGGGCTCCCCAGGGCCAGGCCACTCCTGCAGCACCTGCCTGTGCCTTCCTACAGCGAAATGTCTACCTGGAGCCTCACGCGGCACGTGAGCCCCTACAAGATCAACACATCGGCTGCTACGGAACAAGCTGTTGATTCGAGTCCACCCACAGGCATCTGGGGAGAAAGGCCTGGCAACACGCTGCTAAAAAAGCACCCACTGGAAACCCTGTGGGGCACAGCCCTACTTCGATGCCCACACAGGGCCACGTCAGAGCTGGCATGTGGGGCACAGCCCTACTGCAACATACACACGGGGCCACGTCAGAGCCAGGATGTGGACCGCAGCCCACACAGGGCCACGTCAGAGCCGGTGTAACAAGTGAAACTCTGTGGGGCACAGCCCTACTGCAACGCACACAGGAACACGTCAGAGCCGGCATGGCAACAGAAACAGCAAGCCCAACACCTTGGAAGTGGGTTCATGAAACTCAACGAAGTGCCCCACCGGACACACCGTTTTCCTTGTTCTGTTCACTTGGGCGGGCAACTGTTACAAGGAGCCCCACCCACACGGCACTGGGACACTTGTGTGGCTACACTGTGTGCAGGAGCTTGTGGAAATGAGGCCACTGATGACCAGGCCCCAGACAGTTGACACATAGGCCTCTGCCCACCAAGGCAGGACTCAGGCCGACTCACCGGCTGCTCTGGCGTTGGCCGAGGCGGGCCCCTCTGGACAGCTGACCACCCCGCCAGGCACCGTCCTCGCCATCTGACTCCCCAGAGCCCGGGCCCTCCTCATCCCCGGCCTCCTCTTCGTCATCAAACTGCTGGATATGGTCCTTGTAGCAGATCTCTAGCAGGTTGGAGTTGGGCTGAGGGAGAAGGTGGGCAGGTGGGTTGCACTGCTGGTGGCCCCCCACTTGCCACCCCCAAGGGAAGGGGCCCCACTCACATTCTCGTCATCAGCATTGAGGGAGAAGGTGATGTTGGCCGTCTTGTCAAAGGGTGCACTGGGGGGAAGGCGAGGGACCGTGAGGTCAGGCGCCGTGGGGATGGACGCCAGGTGAGGGCCCACGGGACCGATCACCCCCGTCGGCTCGTTGGGCACCCACTCGCCAGGACCCTCTTCTGGCCGCACCAGGCTCGGCCTCCCTTAAACTCAAACTCACTAGAAGCCAGCATGGACAGCAAGAGGTGCCTGCTCCCGGGCCAAGGCTGAGCCTGGCCCTGTGCTGGTCGCCACTTTTTCATTTGTGCTTTTGTTCACACTACGCAGCAAATGCCGCTAATCCAAGTTCCTATGTGTGCAGCTCAGTGACGTGATGCCACCCTTCTCCTCATTCTCCTTCTCTGACATGTTCCTGTTCCGTGAATAGAAACTCATTGCCCCCCACCCCAAGGGGCCCATCCGAACTCTCCAGTTGCTGTTGGCAACTCGACCTCACACAGACAATCCTTAAAAGGACACGATGTCCAAGAGGAACGCTCCTCCCCAGTTAAACTGAGGTGCTGTCTGAATCTAAGGAGCCTCTGAGGGGTTGTCTGGTTGCAGGTTTAAAGATGATCTTGGGGCAATAGTTGCAGAGGTTCATCCTGCCTTCATGGCTCCAGAAAGGCTGAAACCCATGAGAACTGGAAATTCTGTTCCACATCTTCCCCCTTCTGATCAAGACTCTTCTACAGAACCTTTGATCAAAATGCTCAGTGATGGGAACTGGGCAGCACGGTGCTCTCTGTTACACCTTCATGAGACTATACAGGGCTGGTGAGGGGGAAGTGACCAGTCAATGCAAACCTCCTGGGAGACGACCAGGGCACCCGGCTCACCCAGCAAAGCCAGGCGCCAAGCCTGTGCCCCTACCTCAGGACACTGTCTGCCCTGCAGAAAGACAAAGGAGCCCCCCTGGAGTTCTACAAGGACACTGGTGGCTGGGCCACAGCACCAACAAAAAGGCAGGGTCCCAGTGCAGGGCTCCCCGAAGCAGGGACTGGGAAAGGCAGAGCATGGAGACACTCACTTCACACTCTCCTCCTGCTCCCCAAACTCCTCGTCGTTGAAACCAAAGTGGTCGATGAAGGCCGAGGTCATGCGCTGCATCTGGAAGTCCATGAAGGCCTGCAGAGGCAGCCCGGTCAGGCGTCGCCACGGCCAGACGGCGACCCCTGACCCCAGGGCCAGACTCACCTGCTGCAGCACAGCCTCCTCCGGGAAGCTGAGCTCCTTCAGCCGGTCGTCCTCATCGTCACTGGAGGAGTGCAGGGGGCGAGTGCTCACCTGGGAGGGGCCGGCAGGCGCTTGTCAGGGCTCAGGACAAGGGCCACGAGGCGAGGAAAGACAGGCAGCCATGGGGTGGGGGCCAGCAGGATGAGGGACAGAATCAGCAAGAGGGGACAGGTCCAGCCCAACCTCACCGGACTCCAGGCAGCCAAAGCACAACTTGGCCAGGCCAGGGCCCAGGAGCGCACCGAGCACAGGGCCTGACTCACCAGATCCACCGTGTTCTTCTGGTTGGTCTCTGCCAGTGGCCCCGCCACAAAGGCCTCCCACTGCTCCCTCTGCTCCTCGGGTAACTCTGCGTGGGGCGCAGAGCACAGCCGTCAGGGGGACGCGGTCGCAAGACGAGGAGGCCACAAGGGACCCGCAGGCTCATCACAGGAAGCTCAGCCCAGAGGGAAGATGAGGTTCCCGTGCCCCCGCCACAGCCCACTGGGCCTCACCCTTCAGCAGCTGCCCCAGCTGTTCAGCATTGGGCCCCTTCTCCGCATTCTGCACCAAGGCGTTGGCCACCCGCGTCAGGTGGCCCATGTAGCCCTTCCGGGGGCCTCCCCTGGACCTGGGCAGGGCACAGACCAGGCTGGGCACAGGTGCATCCTCGTCCTCCAGCTCAACACCATGCACTCACGGCCCACCCGGTTCCTCCATCCCGTCAAATACACACACACACACCTGGCTCCTCCATCCCATCACACAAAACACACACACACCTGCCCCATCCCCCCATCCTACACACACACATACACACACACCTGGCTCCTCCATCCCATCACACAAAACACACACACACACCTGCCCCGTCTGTCCCCCCATCCTACACACACACACACATATCCCCACCTGCCCTCTTTGTCCCCCTCATCATACACACAAACACATTTCCACCTAGCTTGTCTCTTCCCATCACACACACACAGACACACACGCAGATACATCCCCACCTGCCCCCTCCGTCCCCCATCATAAACACACAGACACACCCCCCCACCTGCCCCCATCGTGTTCACAGATACACCTCTACCTGCCCCCACATCGTACATACACACACACCCCTGCGTTGCCACTCTGTGCCCCTACCACACGCACACACATGTGCACACATGCAGCCGGCAGGAACGGCACTCACTGTACGCGGTCGTTCTCTTCCCAGGACGACAGGATCCGTGCCACCAGGCGGCACTGCTGCAGCAGCTACGGGAGAGGGGAGGTGGCGGGTCAGGGAGGGGATGTGGCCTGGCGGTATCTGGGGAGCAAACCCGAGCGTGCCCCCAGAGGGAGTGCAGGCCACGGGGGCAGGTGCGCAGGTAAGCACGCCTTTCTTTGGAGTGACCCTGTAACACGCCCGTAACACAAACTCATACACAAACACACACACTCAACCGCACATTTACATGCTCAAAGTGCAAATGTGTATGACCTCTCCCACGGGCCTGCTCACATGTACGTACATACCAACAGTCACTCTTTCATCCTCATACATGTGTTGGTGCACTCATGTGAACACACACATGCGCACATATGGCCTCAGTGCCTTCCAGACATGCTCGCACATGTAAAAACATGCTAAGTCACTCACCCTCATGCACACGTGTGAGCTTAGTCTCACACATACGTGCATACGCACATATCTCTCAGCCCCTCCCAAACACATGCTCACATATGTGTAAACACATACCGAGTTGCTCACTCGTACCTATGTGTTCGCTCATGTGAACACGTGTGTACACACATCCCTTGCCTGTGTCCACACGTGTAAACATGCCAACACTCACTCACCGTCATACACATGTATGTGTTCATGCACTCACATGAGCACACAAGATTGCTCGGCTCTTCACACATTCACATGCTAGTGCAAGCACACGTGCACACACACAACCTCAGGCACCTGCAGGGAGGTCTGCCCACCTGGCCCTCGAACCCTCCTCCTTCAAAGCTTTCACCACCCCTGCTTATTACTCCCTACACCACACCCTACGTCCATCATCACCAACTAAACAGACATGCCAAGGGGACGCATGTCTCCAAGCTGGAGACTGAACGACAGGGCCCTATACTCCATCAACTAAACAGGAGCGCCTAGAGGATGCATGTCCCCCACACGTGACCCAAGCTAGAGACTGAACAGCAGGGCCCTACACTCCATCAACTAAACAGGAGCGCCTAGGGGATGCATGTCCCCCACGTGCAGCCCAGGCTGGCTGCTGAAGGGCAGGGCAGGGCAGCATCCCAATGGGGTGCCTCAGCAGGGTCTGGAGGACCCTGTGGTGGCGGGGAGGCCCTGCCAACACCCCACCTCCCACACTCTGTGCCACAGCCCCGCTCACATGTTTGATGACAGGGTTGGGGACAGGGGCCTCGGAGCCGCTGTCAGAAGGGGGCCCCGCACTCAGCATGGCGCTCACACACATCTCCACCTGGGCGTGTAGGAAGTTGTTGAAGACGTAGTAGAAAAAGAGGTCCTGAGGGGACAAAGCAGCAGCTGCAGGGCCCCCACACAGAGTGGGGGCTGGCCCGGGGCGGGCCGCATCCCAGGCCTCCGTACCAGCATGGTGTTGGGCACGTCCAGCGCCAACAGCTCCTGCGTCAGGCCCGCGTCGTTGGCGCTCAGAGCGCTGGCCAGGAGCTTGACCACGTGCAGCCGTGTGCTCCCCAGCGGAGGGGCCAGGCTCCCCCACGTTGTCTGCAACGCCTCCAGCTGCAGCGGGGTGAGAACCTCAGTTGCAGACCCTGGGTGTCAGGAGCCCTCCCTGCCACTCCTCCCAGCACCCAGCCCACCTTGGGCGGCTCGAGCAGTAGCTGGTGGAAGTGGGTGAGCCGTGGCCGCAGGGCGTGCAGGGCACCGACACTGGACGTGGGGCTCTCCAGGGCTCCCTGGGCCAGCAGCTCCAACTGCCCATCTACGCTGCAGAAGAAGTTGTTCATGGTCGTGGACTCGGACCTGCAGCAGAGGACAGGAGTGACAGGGCACCGGGGGCTCACCCTGCATGCCCACAGCCCTCCAGTCTGGAACCACATGGGTGCACGGCCTGCTGGCAGGGCAGAGAGCAGGGGGTGCGGGGAGCAGGGGAGCTACTGGGGTGATGGTCTCGTAAGAAGCCTCTACTGCTGGTGAGGTGGAAGTGCAGTGAGTGCAGGCAGAGGCACCCACTCAACCCCAATGCCACCACCTAGCAGCAGTGGGGATGGGCCCAGCCAGCTGCTTCATTTTTAAGTCAAAGCCCCGAGACTAGGATGATCCCCCGTGAATAGAACAGCAGCAGCTGCCATGGGTGGGGTCACCACAGGACAGGGACACAGTACACATGCTGGGCAACAATTTCACAAGAGGGCCACCAAGACTTAGGGCCGGGGAGTGGGGACCTGCGTGGCAGCTGGGCAGGTGGGGGGTGACCTCACCTGGGCCTCCTGGGCTCCAGCAGCGTCAGCAGCACCTGGATCCCGTGGACGATGACAGACTGGCTCTGCTCCCCCTCAAACATGTTGCTCAGGAGCTGCTCAATGGTCTCCTGCCTGCAGGGGGCACGGGAGGAGAGTGAGGGGGAGTGGGGAGGAGTGAGGAGGGGA